ATTGATAAATGTATGTATATAGAATGTTGACGATATTTTACCTGTTAAAGCATCCATTGACGGCTGTTCACCGCCATAATCTATCGGCAGAATGGATTTTGGTATTTCTTTATACAATGATTCTATTCCGGATGTATGAATGTGTATCTGAATGAAATGGTAGCATAGATTAAAAATGTAAAAATTTAACTGTTTTAACAAAGACAAAACAGATAGTATTTAACAAAATATATTTCTATAAATTTAATTTATACTTACTCTGCTGAAAAGTTTTGCCCTCAATATTGGTTTAGCCGCTTTCATGACTATATCAATAATGTGTGGTGCATTGATAACATAAATTGCTTTTATTCTTAAACCATATGCCATCTAAATAATTTAGAAAATATAAATTATTTTAAATATAACACAATACAATAAATTATTTTCTTATTAAATATTACTATAACAAGATTTTAATTACGTACCAGACAGGAGTCACATTTTTTAAATAAAATTGGCGTAAACTTTATTACATGATTGATATTTGCACCGGCGCAATCCCAAATTATAATATTGTTAATAACTATATTTGCTTCTATGCGCACTTCCATTGTCATTAAGCGATACCTGTAACATTAGCATATAACGTGCATTTTTTCTGCCTTCGGATAAAGTCAAAAGAAAATTTTTTTATTTATTCCGATTTTTACCATTTTAGCTTACTCTTACAACATGCGATTTACTTGTGAATAATTTTTTTCATGGATTAAGTTATGAACAATTGCAATGCTCGACAATTTAATTTTCCGAGAAATAATATTTGCGGGATAAAATCGTATTCCTGCTTATTTACTGTGATAATATAATTACTCGTATCTTCTCCGTACGTTTACTTTACTTGATAGATTGATGTTAGGAATAGAGCAGATTGATAGCAAATTTGCTATCAATTTAGATACATAATCTGCCAATAATGCTAAACATTTTACTTATTGGTGCTACTTTGATACATTTACATACTGGGAATACAGTTACACATACGTACCGCACATCTACCCAAGCATCATATTTGGAGCCATCGTAATCTATTAGCCGGGATATATGTACTCTACATTTATCTGGCGTTAACACTGGCAAAGGGATGAATTGTCTGAAATAAATATTTATAAAAATATCATACGTGTTTGCAAGCACAGAAATAAATTTCAAATTATTGTGCATACGTTTTTGCAATTCTTACAATTATTTGTTAATATTTGTTACTTTATACTATAAAATCAAAATTAAAATTTTTGAATAATATTTTCTACATTTAAAATATACAAGACAATATGTGGAGATTTAAAAATAACTTATAATTGACTTAATTGCTTACAAATATGTGTTGTATAGTTTTATATCATCGCTAAGAGGATCAAGATTGTCGTAAATTTCAGGAATAAGATTATGAAGAGTGTAAAGCATATCTAAACATTTTGTGGCTTTTTCGAAATCAAATTTGACGGTAGAAATGAAAAATTTTAATCGTTGGTCGGAGATATCTGTAAAATGTAAAATAATGCTCATCATTATGTAAGATTCATTCAATAAAAAAAGAACGATAAAAAATTACAAATAAAATATTGTGGATTTTTATTATTAATCATGGATATCATGATTATTAAATCACTATATTTTAGATTTTAGATAATTAACATATTGATCGATAAAATTGATCGATTAAAATTTAAAAATACTCACCTTGAGGAAGATGAATTTGTTGGTTTAACCACAGTCGAAATTTACATAATAACTCTAGCAAAAGATCTTCGTTTCCACCATTATCCTCCAGCACTTCTTGAAGTGTAGGCATTTCGAGCTTCATCACTTTTGTTATCACCGTTTCTTTATCAAATTGCTTGAGATATGTGCAAACTAAAATTATTGCATATATTAGGCAATATTTTAAAGCTACATGCTTTATTCGGAAAAAAATTAAAAATAGAGATTCTGTTTCAATTTTGGGTTATCTAAAATAAGATAATGATTGATTATTATAAAATATTTATATTAATTTAAATGAATTTTCTTGAATATAAACAAATAAAGAAAGAAGTACACAGTATTAGTTTGATGTTTAAAGCAATTTAAGAATTTTTTCACATTTTCTTCTTAAACACGGAAAAAAATTTTCTGACATATCAAGATTTACATTATTGTAGCAAAATATCTTTATAACTTATATTTTTATTATAACAGCGTAAAATTTGCTGTGACAGTAAATTCTTTCTTTCCGTGTAGCGTAACTTTGAAATAAGTAGATAAAACTTAGTTTTCATCCGAAATTCGAAAGCCGATATTATGTTGGATGATAGTCTCGCCGATTAAATTTTTAATAAAATATTAATAGTTGTAACATTCTTTGAATAAATAAAATCACTCACAGTAAGATCGTTAAAAGGTACAGTGGATATGTTGATCAGAAAGATGTACATCTACATAAATATTTTCTTGACAGCGTGTTCTTTTATACATTCCCACACATTACCAATAACAAATCAAAACAAAGAACGATTCGATTATACATATACATATCAGACTAGGATGTAATTACTTTGCACATTCATACTCAATATCAGTGATACAAACTCGAGTAGGACAGCACCAAAGACATCGTGGAGAAGAGGGCACGCACACAAGCAAAAACCGTATCCGTGTGAGCTCCGCGTTCGCCTCTGCTAAGAGATATTCGAAAGATGCAAATATATTATATTCCGTCTCCTTTCCATCAAGCCGGAAACAGCGGAAGATAAATGCCAAATAGTAAGTGTGGCAAATGAGTAAGGCGGGTGGCTAGAATATCGAAAATTTTCAAGACTTTTTGCAACTTTTTTTTTTTCGTATTTGTTTTTAACAGTGTATAATCAAGTATATTATTAGATAATCCTTTTTTTGATTAAAAAATATTATTTTATATTTATTAAAAATTTTTGCAATCACACACCCACAAGAAATCCAATCGTATAAATCGGTACTTTGCTTTCAATGTTTTTATGATAAATATCATTCAAAAATGTGCAAAAAATTTTTTTTTGAAAAAGACTCCAAAAGCGATAATTAATATAATTGTGATTGTGTATCATTGTAATTTTATGTAATACAGAAATAAATTTTATTGCAGAATTGTAAAATAATTTTTTGTTTTTCTATTGACAATAGCAAATCAGTATTTTTTTCTAAAGTTATTGGTTTAACATTCTGCCCTGTTCTGTTGTAATCATGTGTTTCTGATTCTATTAAAACTTGTCTTTAATATTATTAATTCTATTAATACTTGATGTGATTTAATTTTGTAAGTTTTTATTATAATTAAAGTATAGGAAAGAGGATAAATATTTTAATTTTTATTATTTTTTTCAAAAAAAGCCAAAACTATGTACATATATTAACATATATTATTTTTTCGCAAAACAAAATAATGATAATAACAGCCCAGGTAGCATATGCTCATTTCATATACGTTTCCTATGTGTATCTAATGTTTTTTAACCGTCAAGCATCAATAAAAAACGGTTTTGTAATCATAATTTAAGAAACGTTTTTTCCACGATTTAAAAAAATTTTTTTTTTTTACAGGAAAATTTTTAAAAATTTTATTTGTTATTAAAAAAACACATAGTTGTCTTAAAGAAAAAATATGTAGTTAAAATGATATCATATCATATTTTTTCTTGAAGATAACTGTGTTTTTTTTACTACCAATTAATTCTCTCTCATTAATTTGTGTCATAAAAGTATTGAGGTAAGATAATTGAAAAATAAATATTCAACGAGATATTT